ACTAGAATTGACGATGAAGTTAACTCTTGTAAGAGGAAACAGGATATGACTTCACAAGTTGATAATATAGGTATTTTGCTTGGGTTTCTCCTCTCCACTTTTGGTTTCTGCTCTTCACTTTGAATTGTTGGCATTGTATATTTTAGCAAGAATAGTAGTTTTAATTTTTTTGAGTCTTTTAGATCAATGCACTCATGAAGATCAACACACCTCTGAATAACGCATGGCCAGGGAGAGGTATATGTAACACCCTAAAATTTCACTACCGGAAACAGTAGAATTGCCGAGTGCATTCCATCGGGCACTCGGCAAACATCCTATTTACCGAGTGTTTTTAATTCAACACTCGGCAAACATATAGCACTCGGCAAAACCCAACTTTGCCGAGTGTCTAATAAAAAACACTCGGCAAACTACAACGAAACACTCGGCAAACACAGACACTCGGCAAAGTAGAGGCACGTGCGCTGGGCGTGCGGCATCCATGTGACGGCCGTTGGGTGCGCCGCCCTGCCGGTTATAACTTTACCGAGTGTCCCTTACAGACACTCGGCAAAGACAAGGTTTGCCGAGTGTTTTTTATTGACACTCGGCAAACTGATATTTTTGCCGAGTGTTTTTTTTGACACTCGGCAAAATGATGTTGGTGCCGAGTGTTTTTTATTGGCACTCGGCAAAATAATAATTTTTTTCCTCTCCTGCCCTCCAAACTTTTTCTACTCTCCACATACAACATGTGGTACTACATGTTAAAATTTGGCATATTTCTCGATCTGTTTGCTATATTTAATTAATTTATTGAATTTAGAGGAATTTTTTGGTTTAAGTCAAATTTGAACTGCAAGTGATTCAAATAATAGAATAAATTGAGTGGAGAAATCATATTCATGTTATTGAGTCCATTTTGGGGCCTTACTCGAGAAATGAAAAGAATTTTCGAACATTTTGTTCAGGAAACACGACCACGAACTTGTGGCCCAATAGTTTTTAAATTCTAAAAAAGCAAACAAAGTCTCGAAAATGATGAGATTTGTCAAAATCTCATGATATCATATGTGGAGACTATGGAAAAAATTGAGAAGGTTTCACACAATTTGTCACGTACGACCTTTACAAACCGAAGCATCTCCAAAGAAGAATCATAGCGTTGAGAAGGATCCGGTAAGATTTAGAGTCAAAGTGATGGTCGAATTGGGGTTTGAGTTCAAAAGTTTTTGTATAGGCAATAGACAACATAGATTGGTTCACGTCAAATTTTGGTAATTTTTCGGATCCGTTTGATAATTTTAATTTATTAACTTCAATTATAGAATTTTAATTGATATATATTGAATTTGAGCTATAACTGCATGAAATAATGGATTAATATTCGTAGAAAAATCAAATATGCATTGTTGAGTGAATTTGACAAGGTATTTTTAAATTACATCGTAACAAATTTAGTAAAACACGTTATGAAGAAGGAGGATGGGTGGGCATGAAATATCAATTTATTTTGCCGAGTGTTAACTATACGACACTCGGCAAACAATATAGTTGCCGAGGGTCATATAGTGGACACTCGGCAACATACCCAAGCCGGCCCCACTTACAAGTACCGTACTGGTTGGGAAATTGAAAAAAACAATGCCGAGTGTTTTGGATCTGGCACTCGGCATACCTTTACTTTGCCGATTGCCAAATCGTGGGCACTCGGCAAAGCCCTTTGGTTTTTACCTGATCCGGCCACACACTTACTCACACACACTCACCCGCACACACATGCACACCGGACCGCCCTCTGTTCCGCCGGAGCGCCACCCACCACCCCACGCCGCCGGAGCGCCCTCGGCCGCCGGGCTGCCACCCCCGCAGTCGGGCCGCCACCCTCCGTCGTCGGACGGCCGCCCCCTGCTGTCGGCCCCCACCTTCCCGTGCCGCCGGCGGTGGCCCCGACGCGACTCTTGGCCCCCAGCGCGACTCCTGGCCTAGCCCCCAGCGCGAAGCCCCTCCCGCCGCCGCTCGGCGGCCCGGCCACCCGGCGCCCTTGCCTCCCAGCAACCGATGAGCCCTTCCTCTCCAATTTGGTCCATGCTGATCGCTTCTCGCGCCTTGGGTCCATTTGGTCCGCTCCGATTAGGTCAGGCGGCTATCAATTTGATTTCTCCGCTGGAATGGATCCATCGGCGACTGTCAATTTGATCTCTCCCCTAGCACTCGACAAAGCTACTGTATCCTATAGAATTTGCATCATTTAAAAATAGGTGAATTTGATTTAATTATGAATTTATGAGCATTTAAATTTAAAAAAAATAGTAACTTTGTTAAATTTAAAATCAAATATAGGTCTACATACATGTATGTGCATACATGCTGTGGCATATTTATTTTGTGATGCTTTGGTTTGATTGAAATTTGCAAAAGAATTGAATTTGAGTATAAATTGGATTTGAAATGGTGTTTAAGAAAATAGAAAAGGAGTTTTATTATTTTTCTTCTCCTTTCTCTGCTTTTGGCCCGAGCAGCCTAGGTCCCGCTCGACCTTCTTTTCCAGCCAGCCCAGCTCGGCTTCACCCATTCCGCAGGCCCGGCTTCGCTCTTTCCCTCCTGCGACCCATTTTCAACAGGCCGCGTCGTAGTAGGCCGGCCCAATCGAGCCGTGCTCGCACCGTTCCCCACTTCCGCGCCCTATGATGCTGACGAGCTAGTCCTGCCTGTCAGTCGCCTTCCCCCACCTCTAGCTCATTTCCGCGCCAGACTCCGCTGCCACCGAAAGTTCGCAGCCGCCACGCCTCGTCCTTGCCTTGTGCCCCAAGCTGCTCCTGGCCATATATACTGGTGCCTGCGGCCGTGCCTCTCCATCCCAAGCTTCGGAGTCGCAGCCACCTCGCCAAATCACGGTGTCGCCGCGAAACATAGCACCGCCATGTTCGCTGTCCGCTCCGCCGCATCTCGCGTCGCCTCCGAGCCGTTTCCAACCGCAAAAACTACTTGGGTGAGTTCGCCATCGCCTCCTCTTGCTTCCCGAGCTCTTGGTTTACTTTGTCGTGGCCTCTAGGCCCAAACCATGTGCGCCGATGAGTTTCTTTGCCGCCGGCCATGGAAGCCGCCACGCCGGCACTGTTCTAGCCGACCGGATCGCGCTCTCTCTCTCCCTCGTCTAATCAGAGCCGTCCAGATTAGATCCAACGGTCCTGGATTCACGATACCCCTTCGGCTATAAATTTTGCATAAGAGCCCCTCTAGTTTGCTGATTTTAAACCCGCAGTCCCTAGCCCAAATTCAAAATCTGATTTTATTTATTTTAAATCAAAATTGAGTTTTGTTTATTTACAAAAGTGCCACTGATCTTGTTTTAGCCCTAAAATCTTTGTTTTAACTCCAATTTGGTCCGTTCAAGTTGCATTAGGTTTGTAATTGAGTAATCTACATGTTTATACTACTGTTAAACATGTTTTCAACTTTTAAAATTCAAGGTTAGAATTAATCTATTATTTTATTAAAGGAAATATGGTTTAATTCATAACTTCTTCGTTTTAGCTCCGATTTTTGTGAACTTCGCATTTGTGTGTTCGTAGCAAGATGTAGATTTGTTTTACAAACTTTTCATTTTGATTTTGTGTTGATTGGTGCACTGTTCTAATCTATAGCCTTTGTTTGCAATGCATGATTACTTCTGGATGCTTGTATGTTGCTATGGTTATCGAGTATAGACGGTGGGCAATTCGTGGGTGATCAGGAGTACTACTTTGATGAGCAGGATCAGCAGGAACACTTTGTTCAAGGCAAGTATGGCATGGGATTATCCTTGTTTCCTACCAACTTTAATACATTTAATATATATTTGCACGTGTCACCTTGATGGGGATTCCCTAGAATTGAACTTATACCTTGTCTCCTGTGGGATATGCATTGGGTAGCTTTGCTAGTGCTCAACTAAACCATGATCTTGTAACTTGACTAATGGTATATGCAATAAACATTAAAATATGACTTTTAAGCAACTTGGAAACAGGGGGATGGAGTGTTTAGCTACTTTCTAAATGCTTTAGATTCCTCTCCCTAAGGACTTATCTATAAGTGATCATCCAGGACTTATAGTATACCTATGAGGGCCACATAGCTCTGGCTTTAGCTCAGTATGAGGATCTTTTCTATCTTGTTAGTGGTTACCTTTATTGGTGTAAGAATAGCTTGACGAATCAGGTATAGTGCGGCCTCTGTCCCCTTGATTATAGGCTGTGCGTCATTGTGCCATCGGGAAGGGAGGCTCTACATCTATTTGTAGAGTGAATCTAATGGCCCTAACTTGTAAGACGAACCTTTGAAAGGCTTCATAGTGAACCCTGCCTGCTCACCTTAGAAGTGTTTTGGGAGTTATACACCCGAGCATATGGGTATCACGACTCATAGTGAAAGTGTACAACCTCTGCAGAGTGTAAAACTGGTATATCAGCCGTGCTCACGGTCACGTTCGGCCTTAGAACCCTTATGGAATAGATGATCACTAATAATTATCAGTTTGTGCTATTCATTATTCATGTTTAAATTGATCATGTGTTTACTATGGGATTAACACAACTTGTTGCTACTCTTATGCTAAAATTGTGACAATTAAAAGCTGAATGCTGTGAAACCTGTGTCAAGCCTTTTGAGCCTCATGAACCCCATGTTACACTTGTTGAGTATGACACGTACTTACGCTTGTTTATTTTCATTATTTGGATAAAAATCCCGGATGGGTAACATATGGCTATGGTAATGATGACTTTCCTGAGGATTACAAGACTTGTGGTCAACCAGTTGATGTCCCTGTGCTATGGAGCTTCTGCGAGAGAGTTATCTATATACTTGCGCTATATTTATGTGAAGACTATGTCTTATTATACGTGATATAATAAACACTTGTGATGATACTATCTATAATTTGTGGATTTATGTGTGTGACTGATCTCTAGGTGCATATAAGATTATGCATCCCATTTTATCGTTAAAATCGGGTGTGACAGTGTAGGCATGCAATGTCTGGTGATAAAAAGGATGAGATCCTTGCTAAAAAACATGAATATCAACATAGCGCTAAATTGGGTGTTGCCACGAAGTCCAAGAAATTCTTAGCATCAATGGTAAATATGTCAGGTATGATAGTAATATATTTTTATTAACAGATTGAATATATTTTATTAAATTTAATTACTATATATGTAGTGTCAAATATGTCATGTATATATGACAGTAATGTTATTTGCTTAATCCTATCTGTTTTAGGTGTTGGAAAACGTGTATATCAACATGATTATCGTGCTCATAAAAAGTTGATCAAGAAGCTTTCAACTCTGGCATTTGGGAGTCAGAAGTCATATTGCATGGAATAGAATGTATGAAAAGTTTAAACTGTGTAATTGCAAATCACAAAAAGACATTGTATGTGCAATGAGTAACAATTTAATACTTTTCAATAGAAAATGACTTAGATCAACAGAACCCATATGAAGATGGCCATGACTTCTATGAAGTTGATGAAGCTAGAATGTTGAACATTAAAGGTGAGCTATATATATATACTATTATTATTATTATTATTATTATTATTGTTGTTGTTGTTGTTGTTGTTGTTGTTATTATTATTATTATTATTATTATTATTATTATTATTATTATTATTATTATTATTATTATTATTATTATTATTATTATTATTATTATTATTATTATTATGCTCATGCATGCTAAAAAAATCTGATTTTAAAATGCAGATTTCCAATACGAGTTTTCTATAGAACCTGCAACAAGATTAAATGATCATGATCCTTATAACTTTGTGTATGTGGGTCTTCCTGAAACCCATCATGTCTTGAAGAAAGTGCATAACTGTTTCTATTATTGTGCAAAGAGGTTTGAAGGTGAAGGTCCTGTATTTTGTTGTTGGAACGAACGGGTTAATATATTTATACTAGAGGTCCCAGATGAGCTCCGTCGTTTGTTCACAAGTCAAACCGATAGGGATGCAAAGTATTTCAGAAGGAACATCCGTTACTTGAATTCACACTTTTCTTTCACCAGTATGGGGGTTTCCATTGATTGTAGTTTGGCAACAGCAAAGGGTACTGTTATTTATACATTTAAAGCTCATGGCCAAATATATCACATGTTGGATCAACTTATGCTCGGTGCTAAGGGACCATGCCACATGCAGTTATACTTTTATGACACAGATGAGACTATGCATCATAGGATGAAAAGATCACCACACCTTGATGCTAATGTGATCCGCACTGTATTAAACATCATGCAACACAATCCATATGTTTAAGCATTTAAGAGTCTTGGCACTCTTACCAACTTGGATTGCTACGCTATTGAGCTAAATACTAGTATTTCTGTTGACCAGAGAAGGTATAATGCGCCCGCAATGGAGCAAGTGGCTACTATAAGGTTTGATGAAATGACCCACAACAAAGGTTTGAGCGAAGCATAGTCATTTACGGTAAAGAAAATCAACCTCATTATATAAGGTCATACCATGGATGTTATGATCCATTAGCATATCCCATGTTCAATTCTAATGGTGAAACTGGTTGGGAGGATAAGAAGATTTTATATCAAGACTCACCTTCATCAAAACCGAAGAGAAAATATACTAAGCGTATACAAAAAGGTGGTTTTAATTGTTATTTGCATAAACAATAAACAATTTTTTCCTCAAAATCTCATTAATAACCAGTTACAAATTTCTTACTTCTATATTTATATTTTATTATATAGGCCCAACGCTTGTTGAGATCATCAATGTCTCAGAGATGAACGTACATGAAGAAGAAGGTTATTTCCTTTGCAAAAAAGTTTATCTATTTAAAATATTATTATTTTTCTCAACAATGATGAAGTTAAGATGTTTCAGCCATTCAATAAACTCAAAACAGAATGAAATTTAATCTTTTTTTTGTTATGAACAAAAATTACAGAGTCACGGCGATATGTCAGCGCTAGAGGATATCTATGTTTCAGGCTACAAATTCGTGGGGGAGAATTTAATGTCATGTTTCATGGTGGGAGGCTTTTCTAGCAATGGGTTGTTGATATGTATGTCAAGGTGGAGTCAATGCGTTTAGACGGGTACTCAAAACCGGCGCATCAAGATCTAATTTGTGCTGATCTATACCAGGTTAGAAGTGTTTGGGGTTAAAAGTTGTTTTTTCTATTTTCAAACCCAAGGAAAACCTATAATGTTTTAACACATATATTCACCAGGGCCTTCTAGACACTCTTGCCGCGGGAGAAGCCTGTGCGTCACAAGTTGGTCGTAGAATTGTACTATCAAAAGATTTCCCAGGAAGTGACCGTGATGTGCACTCAAGGTATATGGATGCCATGGCTCTGATTACTCGATATGGAAAGCCAGATTTGTTTGTAACAATGACATCCAATCCATATTGGGATGAGATAGTGGAACAGTTATTGCCAGGACATGCCGCAAGATCGTCCAGATATCGTGGCAAGGGTTTATAGAGCAAAGCTACGAGACCTCCAAGATTTCCTTCTTAAAAACATCATTTGGGCAGGGTCGCGGCCTGGGCACATTTGACTGAGTTTTAGAAAAGGGGATTACCACATGAACACTTCCTTTTGGTTATGGAAGCCAAGAGCAAAGTACGTACTCTTGATGATTATGACAAGTATATAGCGACAGAGCTTCCTGATCAGAAGAAATATCCAGAATTGCATAGACTTGTGTGTAAACATATGATGCATGGACCATGCGGTGTCCTCAACTGTAAGTGCCCATGTATGATAGACGGTAATTGCCGCTTTCATTATCTCCGTGACTTTTGTGAAACCACCCTGTAGGGAAAGAACTCATATCCAATTTATAGACGGAGAGATCATGGAGAAAAAGTGAAAATAGGAAGGGAATGGTTGGACAATAGATGGGTTGTGCCATACAATCCAATCCTTCTAATGAGGTATAATTGTCATATTAATGTAGAGGTTTGCAGCAGCATAAAGTGTGCCAAGTATCTATACAAGTATGTCTTTAAGGGCCACGGTCGTGTTTCGGCTTCGATAAATCAAGCTCGGGCAAATATGGATGGGCAACCACTAGTTATTAATGAGATCAAGCAGTATAGAGATGGAAGGTGTATAACAGCTATAGAGGCAATCTATAGATTATATGGTTTTCCTTTGTATGATATGTCACCTTTTGTGTTACAAATGCAAGTTCACCTTCCAGGAATGCATATAGTTGCCTACAAAGCTCGGGATGATCTAAACAATGTTGTTCAAAATCCTAACTCTCAAAGGTCCATGCTTACAGAGTACTTCAGCACAAACATGTATAATCTTGATGCATGAAAGTATTTATATAGAGAGTTCCCCAAGCACTTCACTTGGATATAGTCAAAAAAGTTTTGGAAACCCAGAGAAAAAGGTGGTCAGATTGGAGGACTGGTGTATGCCCATCCTGCTGAAGGAGATCGATACTATCTCCGTATGCTTCCATTGATCTAGCCCAGTGATTCAGTAGAGTATTCCATCAGTTTGAAGGATCCATTGATATAATGAACTTATTTCTTCGGCCAATACATATGCACAGGTTTGTATAGTTCAACATCTCCGCTATATTGTCGTGGTATTGATCCAATTTAATTGATATGAAAAGAAATATTTTTGGATAAAGCTAGCATCTTCTGGTTTTGAGTTTTCTTGCCCAGAAGAAAGGCGAGGGCCATTGGAGGTGTGGCGCCATCAGATCAGCTTCGACAATTTTATCCTTCAAGGATCCCCCGGCGCCTTCATCAATGGCATGCTGTATCTGAACCTAGCGGCATGCTACAAAAAAATTCCTGCAGTATAGAGTAAACCTTTCCTTTTTGTGTGCAGTAACGTATATCAGTATGTATACTTGCTTTCAGATAAGAGGATTCGCAGGGCCTGTAGTTCTTGTTGCTCAAAGTGCTAGATTCTTGTGCCGGTTCTCTTTCTCTTACTTAAGGTGGTTGGTCTATTAATTTTAATGTGACATTTTCACTATTAGGGCGAAATATGTCTTTTTTTTAGTCTGGTATGGTAACTCAAGCTGAGGCTTCTTTTAGTAAATCAAAATTTTAGCATGGTTTCTTTTGATATAAATCATATTAACTTTGGCCTCAGCGCCCTCGCCAACCACACCCGCAAGACACTTCCCAAACAAGCATGAAGCGAAAGAGAACACAGGGAAGCATGCTCGCCAACCAGAAACAAAGCAGTAGACAACGCAGGGAATCAGCGCCCTCGCCAGCCGTACGCAGCAACGAACGACAGGATGCTACCCAAACAAGCATGAAGCGAAAGACGACGTGGGGAAGAGCGGCCAACCCCAAGCGCAGCAATAGACGCCGCCGGGAATCAGCGCCCTCGCCGACCGCGTGCAGTGACGAACGACGCGAGGAATCAGCACTGTCACCAACCAAACACACAGCGACAGACAACAAGGGGAATCAGCACCCTCGCCGACCACGCAATCATCGCCATGCTGCTGACCACGTTCAACTTTAGGTACATCGCACCAACAGTGTTTTAGATTTTGATTTATTTATAAACATTAACAAGTATGACCAAAGCATAGATGTTAGCTGTAATTATATATATTCTCTGAAAACGAAAAAGTCTGTTATAGGGATCAATCCAAGGAAACAAGAAAATCATAAATCATAAGACAAATTAATGTTTATACCTCATGTTTCTTTTCACAGTATTTGCAGATATTACTCTATGAATTGTAAATTTTGTTTTTTTCTACCATTTGCAGACTGATTTGGGTATTGTTATGGATTCAAATGTTCAAAACTCAGAAGAAAAAAAATCTTCTGCAAATGAACACATGATTGACAATAAGCATCCAGAAGAAATTGAACAACAAATATAAAAAATGACCAAACGTATGACGAACTTCCACAAGGTATTTAATTATATTGTTACATATAGTTTATCACAATGTTGTTTAATTTTTTAAGTTATATAAAAAATTTATTTTACTTGCAGATTATACAATGACGGACAAGGATTTATGTGCTCAAATAATAATAAAGTCATTTTTGGCCACTGATATACTTGTGAAGATAGATGATATTTTTTGTCAATCAAGATCAATTGTCATGTCTTCTAGACCCGATTAAATATTTGAAGGACGATGTAAGTGTACCAATGTGCTTTAAAATATCTCTATCTATTATAAATAATTCTCTGTTTTATAAATAGTTTAATCTTATTGTTATTTGAATATTTTTTTCGTAGGTTATAAGTGCATATATCTGTTGTTTAAAGGAACAAGCACATCTACAAGTTAGAAATGGGGTTAAGGTATACTTTGAGAATCCTGTTAACTCCGGACTGCTAAAATGGGGTTACAAGGATCGTTGAAAATTATCTAAGCCATGACATGGTAACATACGTTTCCATATTTTTATTTTATGTTAGTTTAATACATTTGTATTGTTTTTTTACATATCTAAGACTAATTCATTGTCTTCGTTAGATTCTACTTCCAATAAATATCAAGAACACACATTGGTATTTAGCTGTTCTTCATGCAAAAAAGTGTGAGATACAAGTTCTTGACACATTGTGTTGCGAATTCAATCGAGATGACCTCAGAACTACAGTAAGTTACCATGGCAGCATTACACTTTATTTAAATGTTTTACATTGATCCTCCTTTTATATTCTTTCTTATTTATTATTTATTATTACTAATACTTTGTATTTCTACAGCTGGTGTAGCACCTGGTTTTAAGAAAAAAATCAAATACACACCATATGTGAGCCCAGGAAGGCACATCTCACATATAGCTACAAATAAGGGTAATGTCAATAGACAATGCTCAATATATAACGTACTTAGTATAAAGGATATAACCTTAGACAACAAATAGCGGAAAGACAACTCCGATCTTCGGGCGAAGACTCCAATTCCACAGGGACAACTGACTGGTTGACCACAAGCCTAATTCCTTAAAACTCTAGCAATCTGGTACCTATCCGGGATTTTTATCCAAATAATTAAAAAAATAAAGCAAGTGTAAGTACACGTCGTACTGAACAAATATAACATGGGGTTCATGAGGCTCAAAAGGCTGATACTGGTTTACTAGGATTAGCTTTTAATGAGGCATCTTTTAGCAATTGAGTAGCAACAAGTTTATCACAAGCTCATATAAACACATGATCAAGTAAACATGAATAATGAATAGCATAAACAATTAACAATTAGTGAGCTTCTTCATCATCCATATCATTAGTGTTCATTAGCTATTCCGTAAGTGTTCCAAGGCCGCTCGTGACCCTGAGCACGACTGATATACCAATTTTACACTCTGCAGAGGTTGTACACTTTCACTGTGAGTCGTGATTTACCCTTTCGCCCGAGGTAGCTAATCTCTTGACCCACTTCCAAGGAAGGTCGGCAGGGTTCACTATGAAGCCTTTCAAAGGTTCGTCTAACAAGTTAGGGCCATTAGATTCACTTGGCAAACAGATGTAGGAACCCCCCTTCCCGATGGCACAATGACACGCATCCTATACACAAGGGGACAGATGCTGTCCTATACCCGATTCGTCAAGCCATTCTTACGCCAATAAAGGTAACCACTAACAAGCTAGAAAAGGTCCTCATACTGAGCTAAAGCCAGAGCCATGTAGCCCTCATAGTTGTATTGTAAGTCCCGAATGATCACTTACAGATAAGTCCTTAGGGAGAGGAATCTAGAGCACCATAAAATAGTCCAATGCTCTAGCCCCCTTGTTCCATGTTTCTAAAAAGCATCTTTTAGTGTTTATTGTATATACCATTAGTCAAATTACAAGATCATGGCTTTAGTTGAGCACTAGCATCATACTACCCAATGCAATAACCCAAAGGTATCAAGGCATAAGGTACAAAGTACTAGGAAATCCTTAGTGGCAATCAAGGTAGACACATGCAGTATGAATTAAGTGATTAATAGTGAATAGACAATAAGGATGGCCCCATGCTATACTTGCCTTAAAATTAGATCCTTCTTCAAGTCCAAAACTTAAAAGATCTGCTTCTTGATTCACCACGTATAACTCACCGACTGGACAAGATCATAAAGCATCACACAAGCATCCATGCAATCATACATGAAGCAAACAATAGATCTAAATTAGAACTATACACCAAATATAAAATCAGGATGAAAAGTTTGTAAAACGAATCTACGTCTCGCTACGAACACACAGTCGCGAAAAGCACTCTAATCGGAGCTACGGTGAAATAGATACATCTACCGAAAGATTTGATCATAGGAGGAAATATAAAACTATTAGCTTCATGTGTTTTAATTATATAAAAACATATGTAAGATATTTTATAGATAATATAATTTAAGTCAAATTTATGTTTAAAATATAATACTAAAGTAAAACAAATCATATTTTATTTATAAAATCCAGTTGCATAATTATTATTCAAATTAGAGTTTAAACCATGAAATTCTAGAAATAGTGACATGGTAACCACTATTACTAACGCGTAGATCTCGTTGCTATGAATCTAACACAACTTGAACAGGTCAAATCAGAACTAAAACGTAGAAGATATGAATTTAACAAGATTTCCTTTAATAAAATAATAGATTAAATCTAACCTCGAATTTTAAAAGTTGAAAACATATCTAATAGTAGTATGAACATGTAGGTTATGAAATTACGAACCTAACGCAAGTTGAACGGGTCAAATTGGAGTTAAAACAGAGAAGTTATAGCTAAAACAAAATCAGTGGCAAATCTGTAAATAAGTGAAAACGTATTTTGGATATAAACCGAAGAAACTGCGCTTTCCAAAGAAGAAAACGGAATCTCTAATTCCGCTTTAGACCGCAGGTTCTATTTTGAAGAAATCGAGGGGCTCTTTAGCAAGATTAGCTGACGAAGGGGTATCGGTTGATGGAGGCCATGGGATCTGGATTGGACGGCGGGGATTAGAGGAGGGAGGGAAGAAGGGGCGCGACTGGCCGAAATAGTAAAGCCAGCGCGGTGGCGCGCCATGGCTGGCGACGGAGCACGTCGGCGAGGCTCGAAACACGGCCTACGGTGCATGATTTTCAACGGGAAAGGCACGGGGTGGAAGAGGAGGTTGAGGCGAGCTCACCTAGGGCTCTGGTGGGGACCTCCAAGCACCGGAGACGACGCGCAGCTTGGCGAGTCGATGGCAAACGACGGCGTGTGCTAGGTCCGTGGCTATTCGGCATCTCGGCAAGAACGGATGGCTTTGGAGATATGCGAGGGGGGGACGATGCAGCGCAGGGCTTCGACTTATATGGGGGCAGTTGGCTTAGGGTGCAAACAAGGCGGTGCCGTGGAGGCGTCAAACTCCTCGGCGCCGGCGGAGTCCTAGGCGTAGACGAGCTGAGGTAAGAGGCGGAGTTGACGAGCAGGCCCGGGCAGTCAGTGAGACAAAGGGAGAACACACAGGCACGGTTGCTTTGTTGGGCCACTGTGGGAAGGGAGGCGTGGGGCACAGGCTCAAGCGGGAGGAGCAGAACGGCCTGCGGGAGTGCAAGCCGAAGGGGATGGGCCGGCGGGAGGAAGGCCGAGCTGGATGCGGGCCACGCGGAGGGAATGGGACAGCCGGCTCTGGAACTGGGCCAACAGGCCAAATAGGGAGAGAGGGAAGAAAAATCCTTTTCCAATTTCTAAACCAATCTCAAAACCAATTTTGAATGCAAACTCAAATAAAGTTGAGATCCAATTTCAAATATGAACCAAATCAAATTTGAACACGGTTTGAAATACATTTTTCAGTTCAAATAAAATGAATAATTTTGGGTAAGTTCCCAAATATAAAATTTACAACTTTAAAAAAATACTTTTATTTTCAAATTCTCTTTTTCTTCAAACCCATTTTTAATTTTATTTGCAAAAGCAATTTTAACCATTTTAAATTTTCAATCAAAACCACTCAATCAAATACATCAAATGCAAGGGCATGTATGCACAAACATGTTGCTAAACCTTATGATGAATTTTAATTAAATAAAAAAATTTATTTTCCTATACTTTATGAGCACAAAATTTAGAAATAAATCATTTTATACCTATTTTCAAATAAGGCAAATTTTAGGGTGTTACAGCTGGAAGGTCTGCAACCTCATTTAAACATTATTCTAAAAAAAACAAGATGTGGTCCAAAATTGGGAGGACCTTGACGTCACTAAATGGACAGTCAAAGAACAATTGGAAAAACCAATCCAGACAGGTATGTATAACACACTATAAAATTACAATGTATATGTGTACAGATTTATTTTTTAATACTCAATGTTCTATAACTTTGCAGTTCATCTTGTGGTGGTCTGTTCATGCTAAAGTTTATGGAATACTGGACTGGAGACGCACTTTCTCAACATATTACACAGGTATAAATATTACTTTTCTTAGGTGAATATAATAAGATGATAACCTATTAAATTACTGGACATGCGGTAATATCGATTATTACAATGCAGGAAAATATTAATCATTTTAGGTACAAGTTAGCCGGCATACTATTATGTTGGAAAACAAACACAACAGTAATGAAATGGCACAACGAATCAGCACCCTCACCAACCAAACATAAAGGGACAGACAACAAGGTGAATCAGCACAAGTCTCGCCGACCACGCACGCATCACCGTGGTGCTGACCAGGTTCAACATCAGGTACCACATGAACAATATGACAATATGACTTATAAATATGACAGTTGCTAAGACCATCACATTATGCTTGAAGTCCATGGCCAGGCTTTTTTGCTTTGATTTATATACATTGACAAGTGTGACGAAAGCATAGATGTTAGCTATAATTATATATCCTCTGAAAAAGAAAATGTCTGTTATAGGGATCAATCCAAGGAAACGAGAAAATCATAAATCATAAGACAAATTAATCTTTATTCCTCACATTTCTTTTCACAGTATTTGAAGAAATTACTCTATGAATTGAAAATTTTGTTTTTCTACCTTTTGCAGACTGATTTGTGTATTGTTATGGATTCAAATGAACACAAGATTGACAATAAGCATCCAGAAGAAATTGAACAACAAATAAAAAGTGACCAAACGTATGACGAACTTCCACAAGGTATTTAATTATATTGTTACATATAGTTTGTCACAATGTTGTTTAATTTTTAAGTTATATAAATTTTTTTATTTTACTTGCAGATTATACAATGACCGACAATGATTTCTGTGCTCAAATAATAATAGAGTCATCTTTGGCCATTGATATACTTGTGAAGATAGATGATATTTTTGTCAATCAAGATCAATTGTCATGTCTTCTAGACCCGGTTACACATTTGAACGACGATGTAAGTGTACCAATGTGCTTTAAAATATCTCTATCTAACAGTTATTTCAATATTTTTTTGTAGGTTATAAGTGCATATATCTGTTGTTTAAAGGAACAAGCACATCTACAAGTTAGAAATGGGGTTAAGGTATACTTTGAGAATCCTATTAACTCCGGACTGCTAAAACGGAATGGCAAACATAGAGTACATGAAGATGGAAGCTTCATTACAAGGATCGTTGAAAATTACCTAAGCCATGACATGGTAACATACGTTTCCATATTTTAGTTTTCTGTTAGTTTAATACATTTGTATTGTTTTTTAACATATCTGAGACTAATTCATTGTCATCATTAGGTTCTACTTCCAATAAATATCAAGAACACACATTGGTATTTAGCTGTTCTGCATCCAATAAAGTGTGAGATACAAGTTCTTGACTCATTGTGTTGAGAATTCAATCGAGATGACCTCAGAACTACAGTAAGTTATGATTGCAGCATTACACTTATTTAAATGTTTTACATTGATCCTCCTTTTATATTCTTTATTATTACTAATACTATGTATTTCTACAGCGGGAAGGTCTGCAATCTCATTTAAACGTCAGATGCATAAAATTCAACGTAAAAAATTCTAATTAAGGAAATAAAGTATAAATGAACCTCGAAAATTGTCATGAATTTTGAAATGGAGTTTTAATTTAAAACACTTTTCAGCAAGTGGCCCCATGTTACGTGAAGAAAATGGGGCAAAAAAAAGTTTTGATAGAGACTCGAGTGCCAAAAACCATGGCATTTTTGAAGCACTAGATTTATTCCATGAGCAGTCAAATTTGAGTCACAGAGCTCGGCAAAAAACCTAAAAAAATTTTTTTTAAAAATAAAAACCCTTGCCGAGTCACTGGGGTTGGTACTCGGCAAATATTTTAACCTAAAAGGCCAAATTTTGGAATGGGCCGGCTCAACCCCATGGGGCCCCCTCCTCACTCATCTCCCAACCTTGGCACCGCAAGAAGCTTTCTTCAAGCGCTTGGCCGAGGCGCTTGACAAAGAATTTTTAAAAAAAAAAAAACCCTTTGCCGGCTGAGGTCTGCCCAAATATTTTAACCTAAAGGCCCGAGAATGGGCATTAACCCCCCCTCTCTGCGTCTCCCACCCTCTGCGCCTCCTCCTGCCTGGCCGTCGCCTCGGCCTTCTGGCCTGCCTGGCCCCCCCCCGGCCTCCGGCTGGCCCTGGCCGCCCGGGGCCCTGCCCTTGCCCGGACGGCACGGCGCGCCCAGCCTCAGCCCAGCGCCCGAAGCCAGCCCCAGCCTGACGCCACTGCCAGCTGAGCCAGCTCCCCAGCCATGGGCCCCCGAGCCCCACCCCTGCCCCGAGCTCCACCGGCCCCGCCGTGCCCTGCGGTCGGCCAGCAGAGGGAGAAGGAGAGGAGGAAAAGGAAGAAAGAGAAGGGGGAGGAGGAAGAGGAAGAAAGATAAGGGGAGGAGGAAGAAGAGGAAGGTGCCGACCGACCGCCCGTCGATCCTCGCACCGTTCCGACCGCCTGTTGATCCTTCGCGCTGATACGGTCATCCCCGCCGTCGTCGCCGGCCCTCGCTCTTGCCGTTCTTGCCGCCAAGGTAAGCCCTACCCTTGTAGTGTTAGTAGTAGTAGTAGTTAGTAGTGTTAGTAGTAGTAGTTAGTAGTGTTAGTTGTAGTGTTAGTTGTAGTAGTTAGTAGTGTTAGTTGTAGGGTTAGTAGTAGTAGTAGTTAGTAAATAGTAGTAGTTAGTAAGTAGTAGTGGTTGTTTGTAGTAGTTAGTAGTGTTAGTTGGAGGCTTAGTAGTAGTAGTAGTTAGTAAATAGTAGTAGTTAGTAAGTAGTAGTGGTTAGTAGTAGTAGTTGTTAATTGTTAAGTAGTTCTTAGTATTAGTACTGTTAGTAGTTAAGTAGTTGTTAGTAGTAGTGTTAGTAGTAGTTGTAGGGTTAGTAGTAATTGTTGTTGTACTACTTCAATACTTTCATCTACATGGAAAGAGAAATAAAGTACATGGCTCCTCTTGATATATTGGTGGTTGTTGGCCTTCGTGCCCATGTTTGGTATATATGTGGTTGTTGGCCTTTGTGCCATGTTTTTTGTAGGTTTTGGGAACCTCCCCATGCAGGGGAGGTGCTGCCGAAATTTTGAGTCGACACTAACCATTTTTGCCTTTTTTTGCGGGAGGACCTGTGGGAGGGACTCGGCGACCCCGATCGTCTTCGTCGGTGTGCGGATCTTCCCTGCACTGCGTCGACTCGCCATCTTGACCGACTCTCCACCACCCCGCTACCCTGACCTCACCGGCACCCTAGGTATAACCCCTCTATCCATATGTGGTCTTTGGTCGCGTAACCTAGTTAGGTGTCTCCCGTCCGAAAGAGATACGGTTGGAGGTATATAGATCTTTATATATCTACGACCGTATCTGTTTTGGATTGTCCACATTTTTTGGACAGCCCGCGGATGCGTAGATGGGTTAGTTTCCACGGTCCGCTCTGGTCCAAGATGGTGTTTTGGCATCACCCCCTATTGTTCTATGGATACACACTCTCCCTTGCAGGACGTGCATTGGGAGAATAGCGGGGAGGTGCTGCCGAAATTCTGTCTTGGATAGGGAGCGGAGCATGGAAACTAACCTCATCTATGCATCCACGGGTGGGATTAGGACCTATCCTCACCTATTAGAGAGTAGGAACACCGCATAGATGCAATTGATGGTTACATTACTATGTGATGTATATGTGGAAGGATGGAAGACCGTCAGTGGATGTACACGGGCCAAAGAAGCAGGAGTGACTTTGACATTGAGTGGGTGAATGGGACAGATGCTTTCTTGGAACATGCATGGAGCTCGGGTGTAGCTAAAGGACATTCTAAACTTTGGTGTCCCTATAGCAAATGTGACAACAACAGAAGGGTAGACAAGGTGACCATGGGTAAACATCTTGTGTACAATGGTTATACGGCTGGCTACCACCGGTGGATCCACCATGGTGAAGCAGATCGTATAAGAGTGGAGGTGGTGAGACCACGCCTCGAGGCTTTTGATGATGATGCCGGAGTAGTAGACATGCTAGATGACACTCACCAAGCTCACTTCGCAGAAGGACGTGAGAAGGAGGAGATGGAGGAAGCCGCTAAGGCCTTCAATGAAATGTTGGACTCGGCACAGAAACCCCTTCATGAGAGTACAACGGTTTCTCAGCTAGATGCCATTGGACATGTTATGGGGTTGAAGGCCGAGTTAAATCTGAGTTGCGAAGGCTTTGATAAGATGTTGGCCGTGTTTGGCAGCATGCTACCAGAGAAGCACATTCTGCCAAAGAACTTGCACGAGTCACAGAAACTACTTCGTATGCTTAAGATGCCATATGACAAGACACATGTTTGTCCGAAGGGGTGCGTCTTATTTAGGAAAGATCACAAGGATGCAAAGTATTGTCCGAAGTGTAAATCCTCAAGGTACCTGGAGGTAGACTCTGGAGATGGCCAGAAGAGGTAGCTTATGATCCCTGCGAAAGTCCTACGGCACCTTCCGTTTGTGCCGAGGATCCAACGGCTTTTCATGATCGAGGAATCCGTGAAACAGGTGACATGGCATAAAGAAGGTGTACGGTACAAGCCATGGACAATGGTGCATCCGTCCGATGCCGAAGCATGGACGTACTTTAATGACAAACATCCTGACAAAGCAGCTGAGGCTCGTAATGTACGTGTCGCGCTGGCAACAGATGGGTTCAATCCTTATGGATAGTTGTCTGCCCCATACACATGTTGGCCCATGTTTGTTATCCCCCTGAATCTCCACCCCGGCATCTCCTTTCAACGGCATAATGTCTTCTTATCGTTGATAATTCCTGTACACCCGGGGAGTAATATGGGTGTGTGCATGGAGCCTATGATTGATGAATTGATCGACGCTTGGGAGAAGGGGGTATGGACATATGACCGAGCTACAAAATCATCCTTCAAGATGCATGTTTGGTACCACTACTCCCTGCATGACTTCCTGGCGTATGGGTTATTCGCCGCCTGGTGTGTCCACGGGAAGTTCCCGTGCCCAATATGCAAGGAAGCTATGAGGTTCATTTGGTTGAAGAAGGGTGGCAAGTATTCATCGTTCGACAGGCATCGTCAATTCCTCCCTTCTAACCATCCATTCAGACAAGACATCAAGAACTTTATGAAAGGTGTTGTAGTGATAGACCCTAAACCGCGCATGAAGAGTGGTGCTGAGGTGCGTGCTCAGATAGATGCTCTCGTGCCCAATGAAGGAGGTGGTTTTGTGGGATATGGTGAGGAACATATGTGGACTCATAAGTCCGGCTTGACGAGGCTCCCCTATTTCGATGACCTTCTTCTACCACATAACATTGATGTAATGCACACCGAAAAGAATATCGCCGAGGCACTTTGGGGAACTGTCATGAACACTGACAAGTCTAAGGACAATGTTAAGGCTAGAGTGGACCTAGCGACGTTGTGTGATAGACCAAAGCAAGAGATGCGGCCTCCTAGTGGACAAAACAAACAATGGAAAAGACCTAAGGTCGATTTTGTCTTGGAACCCGATCAAAGGAGGGAAGTACTAAAATGGATCAAGACGTTAATGTTCCTAGATGGATATGCAGCGAATCTGAGCAGGGGAGTGAACTTAGGCACTTTACGAGTCAATGGGATGAAGAGTCATGACTACCACATATGGATTGAGCGGCTTCTTCCGGTGATGGTCCGAGGCTATGTCCCTGACCATGTCTGGCAAGTGCTGACAGAGTTGAGCTTTTTCTTCTGTTAGCTTTGTGCCAAGGAGATATCTCAGACCGTCGCTCAGGACTTGGAAAAAGCGGCACCTGTGTTGCTCTGTAAACTGGAGAAGATCTTTCCACCCGGCTTCTTCTTGCCCATGCAGCATCTGATTGTGCACCTCCTGTCCGAGGCACGTTTGGGGGGGCCCGTGCAAGCCCGGTGGTGCTATCCAATCGAGAGATGTCTAAAGACTCTTCGCAAGAAATGTACAAATAAAGCTAGAATTGAGGCTTCCATTGCAGAGGCAAGTCTAAGGGAGGAGGTGGCAAACTTCACAACACTATACTACAAGCCAAAACTTCCTAGCAATCATAATCCACTCCCTCATTACAATGTTGGCGAAAATGAATGGACCCACAGCCTGTTCCAAGGCCAACTCAGCAGCGCAAGTGGATCGACCAATAAGATATTGGGAAATGAAGAGTGGCGAAGTGTCATGCTATATGTGTTGACCAACCTTCCTGAGGTGCAGCCGTTCGTCGAGTAAGTTCTCAACAAACTTGTTTCAATACGCCCTGAATATTCTTCATGCAACCCCACTGATTCTCGTTCAGACAGGGAATTTGTTCGTGAGTCCTGGCATCAATCAAGGGATCCTACCTCGCAGGAACATGACACCCTTCTTTC